GGAGGCGGGGGGCTCGGAAACAACTGGTGGTCGCCGGGCTGCCACATCATGCCGGGCGTCTTCGCCTTCCCCGCGCAGGTCGAGAACCTCATGCACGCGTTACAGGCCGCGGCGACGATCCACGAGGACCCCTTCTACATGCTGCCCTTCCTCTCCATGACCGCGACGCTCAACGCCGTCTACAACGGCACCTACGCCGGGCCGGAGGACGAGGGCTCGGCCAAGTGGGCCGCGCTCGAGCTCGAGTCCGCGGTGCAGTCGACGCTCAAAGTCGCGGACGCGCTGGGCCTCCTCGGCTTCGTGCCGCCGGACGTAAAGCACTACTACGAGACCCACGGCCGGCCGTCGGGCTACGAGGCCTACCGCCTCGGCTTCGACGACGCCTGGGACGGCACGGGCGAGTTCCGCGACTACTTCAGTTACGACGAGGCCGCGTTCACGACCGAGGTGCGCTTCACGGACCGCATCTTCTCCTTCCACGGCGCCTGGCGCGCGGCTTTGGGAGACGACGAGCGATATCGGAGCGGCAAGCGCGACTACAAGCCCGACAAGCTCTACATGGCCGTGACGGGCGACGTCGTCGCGCCCAACACGCTACCGGTTCGCGCGGTCGTCTGGCGGACGCGCGCGGCGGACCTCGGCGTCATCGTCTGCCCGCTGCCGAGGGTGGCGCGCACGCCGCGGGGCCAGACGTCCTTCGTGGCGAAGTTGTTTCATTTTGGCGAATCGCCGCGGCCCATGGGCGCGGTGCTGCACGAGCTCGCGGACGGTTCCTACTCGTGGTTCGTCATATCCAACGGCACCTTCGTCGACGTCGCCATCAGCGCCGCGGGCGGCCTGGACAACGCGACGAAGCTCGAGGCCGCGGCCCAGGACATGGCCTTCGGCCCCGGGGTTCTCGTCGAGGCCTCGGGGTCGCTCGACGTCGCGCGGCCGCGCGCGGCGACGCCCCTCGACTTCGTCCTCCCGCCGCGCGTCGCCGTCGAGCTCGGCGTCTTCCGGGTGGGGCGATAGCATAATGAGTTTAAAATGGTCCGGCCGCGGTCACTGGGAGCGGCAGCTCCCGGGCCCCTCGGGCGCCGCGCGCGCGAGCGGGTTCGAGACGGGCGCCGCGGCGACGCCGCGCTCCTCGAGGACGCAGCGGAACGCCTCGAGGCGCGGCAGCGCGGCCGCCGTCGCGTTCGCGCCGTGCGGCGGCGACCAGAGCACCTCGGCGATGGCCGCGAGGCGCGGCCACAGCGTTTGCATGATATCCGATGGATCCGCCGTCTCGCCCCACCTGCGACGCCGAGGGGCGGTCGCGCGCCGCGCCAGGCGTCGGGGGCGCGGGGGGAACTCGCATCTCTCCTCCGCCTCCCAAGACGAGCGCGCACTGCTGCGTCGTGAGGCCTGTGCAGGGGTCGCGGGCGTACATGGTATCCCACGTCGTGATGAGTGAATCCAGATACCTACCTCGAAAAATAAGCGACGAAGCTTTCGTACGCGCCGGGCGACGCGCCAGGAGCCCACGTTCGAGCCGCGGCCGACGTTCCAAAGGACGCGATAGCCGTGGCTCGTCGCGTTCGCGACGCCGCGCGCCGATACCCCGCCCCCAAGCCAGAAGTCGAAGATCGTCTCCTGGGGCATCGACGGCCCGAAGTGCGTCCACGCCTCGCCCCAGACGATCGCCGCCCGGCCGTGGGCCGCCTTGACGCCCGCCGCGACGCGCTGGACCGCGTAGGCGTAGGCGTCGTCGAAGGTCGCGAGCTTCTCCGCCGCCATCCACGCCTTCATGGCGTCCGACTTGTTCCAGCAGTCGTAGCGGACCTCGTCGCCGCCGAGGTGGAAGACCTCGTCCGTCGTCACCGCCGCAAAGTCCGCAAAAATGTCGCCGATGAGCTCGAAGGTCGCGTTGTTTATCAGCAGCGGCTCGGGGCAGTCGGGGGCCGGGCAGACGTGGGGGTTGCTCTTGCAAAACGACGCCGCGTGGCCCGGCGTGTCGACCTCGACGACGACTCGAATGCCCAAGGACCGCGCGTAGGCGACGACGGCGGCGACGTCGCCGGCCGTGTACCGCTCCCCGGGCGAGAACGCGGCGGCCTCGGCGAGCTCGGGATGGGACGGCGCGACAAAGGGGAACGACCTACCAGACGATATGTCGGTGACGACTTTTCGTCGTTTCCCCAGCCGAAA